CAGCAGGAGGGGAAAAAAAAGTTCATCATGTAACTCAATAAACAGCATAACTCTAAATTAGCTAGTACCTGTACTAGGAAGTTTTAGTAGTGTGAAACTCAGCAGCCCTGCAAAACGCGTCTGAGATTCTGAGTGAACATGAGAATAGTTAACCCCTCTATGCCCTCTTCCTGCTACAGCTACCATGCACTCTAGCCCGGTTCAGCTAGGATAATTCTGCAAAGGATATTTCCACACTCATGTAGATATGTCCTGTGTCACTGGAGTGGAGGAAAAAAAATAATAATCCTTTATTAACACAAATATTATATATATTAAATTATCATAAAGGTTATCAAAGTTACGTATTTCATATAAATGTGGAGTATATTGCATTTATTGTCCTTCTTTGTATACTTTAATTATTCCTTTCCTTTTTGAAGCTCTTGCTGAATGACTTCTTCAATTGTACCAGCCTGGAAAGAAGGTTATTTTTCAGTTCATCCCCTCATTTTAGTATTTGTATGTCTATCATTATGACAATATATATGTTACAGTTCCAGACAATAAGGGGCTAAATATCATGTATTTGTTACAAATAATTTTTTCCTGAAATGCATAAAACTCGGATAAGAAAGAAGAACTGTATTTTTGCTTACAAGATTACAGCCTTTAAGATGGTACAATATGAAATATCTACTTAGATCTTGAAGACAGAATTAATTAAACCCTACAGCTGGTCATAATACAACAGCAGCACTGTTCCAAATTTATAACTTTTCCAGTGATGTTCTCAAAGAACAGAAGACACAAAGAGAGAGGAAAAAGCGTTCTCCATGACATTTTAAGGATAATGTCACTGTCATTACATTTGACTTTTCCTACAGCAGTATGTTCAGGTAAAATATTTTACAGGACTGGAAAACATCTTTCAGGCAGTCCTTCCCACAAGCTAGAATGAATTTCATCTATCTTCATCATTCAAAATAAAGTATCTGGTCTCAGCAAACTGTCTTCATCTCCTACACAGTTGATCTCCTCTGTCTTTTTCCATTGACTATGGAAGGAAACTCAGCATGGGGCTGGGAACAATTCTTCCCATCTCTTTTAGGTGCCTCCTTCACAAAGGAGGGAAGATGTGGCAGGTCCCTGCTGTTCTCTTTTGACTAGGCAGCTACTGACAGTAGCTGCTGCTCTTTCAGGTGACTGAAATGAGGTGAGATGAATCCATGCAGGCGGTATTCCTCAGGTGAACAGCTATTTAAATATTCATTTACAAAAGAAAACAAAGTGGAATCAGCTGGCCATGAAAAGCAAATCCTCCAAGAAATTATTGTGACTGCATGGGTTCCTCTGGACAGATTAATAGGTGATTGCTTGATGTTTCTAGCTAGGTTTTTAAAGAGTTACAAACCTTAAATACTTCTTTAAATATGCCAAGGAATTAAGTATCTCTCTTCCCCCTGATCTGGCTGCTAAAATTTAAGTAAAGTGGTACTGCACCAGAAATTTGGAAAACTAAGCTGACATGTAAAACAGAAGCCATGTGACTAGGCTACCTTCACTATTTTTTTTAATCAGTACAACTAAATTGCCAGAGATTCGTACAAGAATAAACAGTAGCTCAGAACTAACAACAAGCAGCATCCCTGATTTCTTCTCTGTAACCCCTATTAGTTTGACACTGGGTAATCTTACACCTCAAATGGGCAGGTCTGCATAGGTGACCACAGTTCCTCTCAACACTTGTGTTCCCTTGGGCAAACGACTGCCTTTACAATCATGGAGAGCATGACTCACACCTACTGCAATTCTCTTTTCACAATTCGCAATCTTGTACTACTGTAAGTCCATTTATATCAGAGCGGTTACTCTTACACTATATCTACAGTAGTGAGAGATTGAGACCTATTACTAATCACAAGGTAAGAAGTCCGTGCTCAGAGTGAACCCAAATACATACAAAAATGTAGCTGCACATATTATGATAGGGTAGGTAATAAAATAATATTTACTAAGAAAAGCAGTCTCCTACACTTTATTTTGCAATTGTTGTCTGTTAGGTATTTTTTCAAACAGGCTATTTCCCTTCCACAGCATGCAAGTTGTACTTTTTGGCAAAACCTGCTCAGTGGTGTATTTAACAGAGGGCACCCTCAGTTTAACCTGAGCAAATGGTAGTATTCTAGCAGTAATTCAGGCCTATTGGACATAACATAGCTGATTACCCCCTCAAACCAGCATTACTTTTGTTTATCAAGTCACACTGGTATGACTGGAAAGAAAGGTTTTATTTAGACATATATCTGCTGATTGTAGATGAGACTGCCAAAGTTCATTGAAGGTAGGTAAAAATCAAAACTACAAATTCTTGTTAGGCCCCCTTCTAGAGGAAACAGGTACCAGATTCATGACTGAGCCCAAGAAAGATGCTGTTTACAGAGGAAAAAATCCTTAGAGTATTCCAAATTCTTTGGATTTGTTCAGTGTAACTGAGAGCAGATTCTGACCAACATTCAAGAGCTTTCCTGATAAATACCCACAGCTGGCTTCTAATCTGGCTAATACTGGTTATTTACCACTATAATTCTATAGCTCTTCATGGAGCTGTACCTCTTTTTCCCCTGAAAGCAAAGTCAGAAGCAGATTCTTCAGAGTATTTGCATGCAAAGCATAATTTTCAGCACAGAGAAATCACCAAGAGAAACGATTCTTCTGCATTTCAGACATAATAGGTACAATCTGATGCGTACTGATAGAGAAGAAAGTTGTTCTTTTAATTTATGATCCCAGATTATCTAATGTGAAGTTAAATGCATGAACAGGTAGAAATTTATGATGCTACATAACTAATCAAGGTTCTTAAACTATTTGAAGAAAAAGAATCTTTGCTCTTCAAGAAGCCAGAACGCTCAGAACTTGTTTAGTTTGCCATTAGTTAGCTTTCAGATCAATTTAGTTGGTTTTGTATAGTTTTGAAGCTAAGCTGAAAAGACCAGAGATGATTTTACACAACACAGACAGTTAATAAGATAATACTAAATGTTTTGGTATTGTGGCTTTTGTAAAGGAGCTTTGAACCAAAAAGTCATTGTTCATTGTACCACTGATGTTATCTGGATGTTTCCACATCCTGGCAAGATGGCTGAAGCTCCTTGATCAAAGGTTCACCATAAAACAATAGTATATTGCCAGGTCATGGGATACAGAAGTTTAATAAATCCTCAAAATCTTCAGATAACACCTACTTAAGCAGATGCCACAGCATAGGTTAACTTTGTTTTCCAGTTCTGTGGCTTTTGTAATAATCATCCACATTTAATTTCAAATATTTAGATATTGTAGATGGAACTAGATTTTTGATTTTAAAAATCTAGGCCAAAGAACAAAGTCAGATACTCATCTGAATCATGCATCGACCAATGAACCAACCCCTCCCCCCCAAAAAAAAAATTCTGCTTTTTTTGGAGTAACTTATAGAGGTAATCCTTTCAAAAGTCAAGTGTTTTGGGTGACACTAGTAATTTTATATGTACACATTTATATGTGCATTAAACAACAATGGCCGTAAACGCTACCCGATTCCCCACAGTGGTTCCTGCTTTATTCAGAGGGCCACTCCACAGCTGGGGCCTTCTATAAACTCACCTGTAACACTGAATTGCACGTCCCACACCGTGGCATTGGACTCTACAGGGCTCTGACCTCTTCCTGCCCCCAATTCAAAGACTAATCTAAGCATCTGCTTTAGAAGTGCTGCTTGAGTCTTCTCCTAGGCTGAGTTCCTCAAAGAAACGGCAAAGAAAGACGGAAAAAAGAACATACTACAGACTACACTGTTACTTGCACAGACATTAATGTAGATTCAGCACGGCACTACGACTCCAAACATTGCAGTCGTGGCAACCTAAATGGGCGTTATCAGAGACTCTCACATAGTTTGCTGCATATTGCCAGTAGGGCTAATTATATGAAGGATGTCAGAGAATGTATTTAGGGATGTTGTTATTAAACATGAATATGTCAAAGGACATCAGAAAGTGTTAATGCAAGGAAAAAAGTAAACAATGATAGGCATTTTCCACTTCAATAGCTCAGACTGAGTTCTGACACCGACATTTGTGGGGCAAGACAGTGATACAGAGTGGTTTAAAGTCAGAGGAAGATGAGGAACAGGCAAAATGAGTCAGAGAGGATGATGAAGCAATATTCCTCCATTGATCTCTTCTTGGAATGACATATACAATCACAGAGCAGTCAGATCACAGTCAGTAGCCAGCTTTTCCAGATCCACAGAAGATGAGAGTAGGTCAGCTATAATTTAAAAATACATATATTTATACTGAAAAATACTGCACCTAGGACAGCCAGCTAGAAAGGGATGTTTCTGCAAGAAGATCAGGCACTATCTTCTTTAAATATGTTTCAGATGAAGCCTACATAGTTACCGGGAGCCGTGTTACAGTGCCATGCAGTACTACCACTCTCAGGACCACAGTGGATGAGTTATAAAGACATTCAGATGAAAGCTGAGATGAAATCAAATGTATTCTGTTAGAGTATACTAATCTGGTGGAAGTGGGGCTCAAATTTACAATTTTGGCCTGATTGGTCTTTAATTTCATGGGTGAACTCCACTGATTCCAGATGTAAATTCTGGTTAACATAAATGAAAGATTACAGCGTAACACGGGGAATTTTAAAATGAATTAAGAGCAGGGCAAGTAATAGGCAATAATTACGCTGGACAGTGG